AGCCGTGTCCATATCATTGTCTAATGTTATCATTTTACTAAAATTCAAATTCCTTGTCTCATTCCCGTTTGACATAAATCCAAAATAGGTACCTGCATACCTTACGATTTGGGTTCCCTGGAGGACAGCCAAGTCCAGTGCGCCACGTAGGATATACTATTACAATCTTGACCCCATTCGCAAAGGCCCAATTAAGACAACAAACATTTCTCTCCTTTTCCGTGGGTTTGAGTAATTAATCTGAACAAGTACTGTTTAACGAAGTCGAGCAGCCAAAACGTGATATCAGCAGGGCTATTCCGAAACGATGTTTTCGTAGTTTCGGGTCTATCTGTCACCGTCGCTCATGCTGGCATCTCGCTTTGCGTGAGAGGGATGGCAACATCCGAAACTTCTGATATCGTTTTTGGAGTAGCCCCGCTGACACGGATGTTGGCAACTTCTATAGCTTTACTTTCTTTTCTCATTTATCGCTGTCGTTAATCAAAATTCTTGACAGTTTAATGCCATTAATGTAGGACCCAGTGAGTGCTTCATATTGTCTTGTCGAATATTTTAGGGCATTTTACACGATGCACATTTTAATCACAATGTAATGAAAAGCCATAGACAAGTCTCTAAGTTCTACAATTTTATCTTCATGTAATTCTTCTCTACTATCATAGGCATTATAGTAGGGAATTTAGTGCAAGAACCCCTCCACTTTGGTATAGAAGGCTCATTTTCGCAACAGTGGTTCTTTGGGTGCTCCTGAGTGGATTTCCGTCGGTAGACATCGGGAGCCCCCCCTGTGGTAGCAGGGGGAGGGGGGGCAAGTTTCCTTCCGCCGCGCTTCACTTTAAGGCCCATATCTTCAAAAATATGGGCATTAGGGCAAGTGTGGTATCATTTTCGGATAATTAAAGGATGGCGAATTCATTTCTAGAACAAACTTTTTGCCTTTTCATACAAAAAAATTGAAATATTGAGTAAAATTCACAAAAACCAAAAAGTATTTTTTTAAATAAACGTCGTTTACTTTTAAACCACTGGAGATAATCTAATAAAAAAAATATGACCTGAAAGCTACATTTATCAGGATTATAAAAATATAACATTGTATGGTACTTTTTTCGCAAAAAGTAGGTGAAAAAAATTTTTTCTTCAGGACACAGCGGGCGAATTTTATTGCGCATCGGAAAAAAATATTTATTTTATCCATGAATTCATACTATTTGGTTCATAAGCAAGCAAGGATTATTATTTTAGAATTTATTTAGAGTTGCTGGCACATCAATCTACCATAATTTGTATTTTTTCGTCAATTGATTTTGAACTCTATGTGTGAGACATAAGGTTGAAAATAGTTTAAATACATTTTAATATTGAAAATATCATAAGAAGAAAGCACTAAATAAAGAACTTTAATTTGTCTAAACGTCTTAATGATTATTATTATTTTAATTAACACTTTTATTTCTACATACTATTGTACCAGTGATTTAACGGAAAGGTAAGTGTGAGGAAAATGAGGTTTCACAATCATAGTACGGGAGATATTTTTAGCACAAAGGTTACGGCTGTGACCGTTTTAGTTGTTTTTTTCAGACAGCACCAGCTTCTGCACTACTTCTTGCACTTACATCTCACCATTTCCAGGCAAGCCTCGGCAGCTACGGGCAAACCGGTCCATGTAGGCTCCATCTTGCTATCGACTCTGGTCCACCCCCAACCAGTCGGGTAAAGGGAAGACTCGAGTCGGTTGCTTGCACCTGATCCTATACGCGAATCCCTTGATATACTGCCAGTAACCAAGGCTGATACAAAGCTGCTGCTGCTGTCTGGGTTATCTTATGTAGGGCCTAAGCTAAGCTAGGTCTAAGCGTAGTCCACAGCGACCCATTAGGATCTTTATGCTCCATTTTTTATTCCCTATCATCCAAAAAAATCCTATCCATTAGGTGAATTAAGCGTCTGAGTGAAAGCCTTCTAAGTCTTCTGATGCCGGATATGCTGACCCAAGCAGACCCATCCTTACAGTATTGATTCATGGACCCCACATGTATTCCACATGCTCGAGAGCTGTCTTCTGTTGTTAGGCCCATTTTGTGGGACATGTGGTTCGTTCCATAATGCCCAGTTTGCGTACCAGTAATTGCTTGGGCTTAGATACCTTAATGCTTAATGAGTTTTCTCCATGACCCTGTGTTTCCCTTTAGGAATGATTTGGAGAGGCTTATCTTATATCGTTGGAGCTTTCCCATTCAGCACTGTGCTTCTTGGATATGGCCATATTATGGCCATGAGGTATGCCGTTAGATAAAGGTAAGTATCAGTTCTGACCCAATAGGTATCGCCTCTGACCCTAGTTTCGCTAGACTGTCGGCTCTCCCATTGCATTTGATCCGTGTATGTCCAGGTATCCCACATCAGGGACACTTTCATGCCTTCCGAGTTTGTTCATCTTTAAGATTGCATCTAGAATAATTCTAGACTCAACCTTCACTGAGGCGATGGCTTTTTGTTTGAGTGCTGCCTGGCTGTGGATCAGGATGTAAATATTGCGTTTTTTACACCCCTGTTCTTTAGTGCACACATATTATAGCGTAGAATTCAGCTTGAAACACTGTAGCAAACCTCCTTAAGCGTTCACTATGTTCGAAGTGTTTACAGTAGACGCCCGTTCCCGTTCCCAAGGCCATCTTTACAGTGGCGGCGTAAGTCCTAAGGCACCCCCTGGTAACCCCCACGATTTTGGGGTTACCTACCGATTCCAAGATTGAAAGACAATGACATAGACCGCAGACTTGCTATGCAGATGCGCCAGTGAGTACTTATCTGTGCGACATGTGTCACCCTCTGATGCTTGGCCCCCCCCCTACGCCGCTACTGCATCTTTGAGCTATCAGTAAACCAGATTAGGCTGTTCTGTTGGGATTTTGGTCCTCTTTTCTAGTCGTCCCTTGTTCAAGATCTATCCACTTACTTATTAGATCAATCCAAGGGGTTCGCGTATAGGATTAGTTGCAAGCAACCGACTCAGTCTTCCCTTTACCCGACTGGTTGGGGGTGGACCAGAGTCGATAGCAAGATGGAGCCTACATGGACCGGTTGGCCCGTAGCTGCCGAGGCTTGCCTGGAAATGGTGAGATGTAAGTGCAAGAAGTAGTGCAGAAGCTGGTGCTGTCTGAAAAAAACAACTAAAAAGGTCACAGCCGTAACCTTTGTGCTAAAAATATCTCCCGTACTATGATTGTGAAACCTTATTTTCCTCACACTTACCTTTCCGTTAAATCACTGGTACAATAGTATGTACAAATAAAAGTGTCAATTAAAATAATAATAATCATTAAGACGTTTAGACAAATTAAAGTTCTTTATTTAGTGCTTTCTTCTTATGATATTTTCAATATTAAAATGTATTTAAATTATTTTCAACCTTATGTCTCACACATAGAGTTCAAAATCAATTGACGAAAAAATACAAATCATGGTAGATTGATGTGCCAGAAACTCTAAATAAATTCTAAAATAATAATTCTTGCTTGCTTATGAACCAAATAGTATGAATTCATGGATAAAATAAATATTTTTTTCCGATGCGTAATAAAATTCGCCCGCTGTGTCCTGAAGAAAAAATTTTTTTCACCTACTTTTTGCGAAAAAAGTACCATACAATGTTTTTTTTTATAATCCTGATAAATGTAGCTTTCAGGTCATATGTATCCCGATGTCTACCGACGGAAATCCACTCAGGAGCACCCAAAGAAACACTGTTGCAAAAATGAGCCTTCTATACCAAAGTGGAGGGGTCTCCATACAAATCATTGCACTAAATTCCCTACTATTAGTAGGAGTTACTGTGTATAATTAAACTATACTTACCGGCTTGTTTGCCTAATTATTAAATTAAGTTATACTATTTTATATAAACTGATGTATTTATGTAAACTGTTTTAATAAAGAGAATACAAATATTACTTAATTAACTTTTTGTGTGAAATTCCAGGGGAAACTGAAATTCTCTCAAATAATTTCACGCTTGAAAATGTATAAATTGTTTAACGGATCCGTATTCTCACGCCCAGTTACAAAATACGGGCGATAATTGGTTACTTTTATGCTTGGAATGGGTTTTTGTATTTGGTTATAATTAAGTGTGGCGACACTGTTTCATTATTAACCATTAAGTATTTGCTCTATTCGCAGAAAAAGAATCAAAACGATTTTTGAGGATTTAGATTAATTTTCTTTTCATTAGTTAGATTAATGGATGGCACTACTTCACCTAATTTTCATAAAATTATTCGCTCTATTATCGCGTATTTACTCAAAACTGATTTCTAGTGTTACAGTAGCTAGTTGTGTTCTTTACGTTAAAACAAATTATACTTACTGATTATTGTATAAAATTAATAATTAATCTGGAATTATCCGTCGTTCAGCATTAAGCAAGAATTGTATAACACTAAATGCTTACACAACAAAATAATGTAATGGCAATCAGCGATGCGGATCACCCTAGAAGAATTTATTTCAAAGAAATCTGGTAACTGTCGATTTAGTTTAATAACCGAACAATTTGTTGACACAGTGGTTGCTTGTAACCGCCACTTATTCGATTAAGCCGAGCTACCGAATCTAATGAGCACGCGCGAGACGCGTCGAAGATGCGTAAGAGTGACTCACAGTGATTTCTACCGATCTCTATGTTTGAAACATTGTAGTGTGGATTGCTTGGTATTCAAACTTACGACTTTCATGTCTAATTCTGTCCACCAAACAAGTGATCAAGTAGTTAGTACTCCAAGCTAACGCTAAATAGATCCTACAATACAAATTACTATTTTGTTATCTGAGTAAACATAGTTTTACCTGCCTTATATTATCTGTGGCTTTACATACGTTCAATATAATTAATTTTGTTTACTTTTTCCCCAAACACTTACTGTCCCAAAGCGGCAGTCTTATTAAAAGCTGCGCAAACGCATACGGTTCTATAGCTGATTATTTTTTTACAGGTAACCATGACGACCGGTTTGGATCGGGACACGATCCGCTCAGCGTACGAGGACGTGAGGTCCGACGCTACTCCCACAGAATGGTGAGGTCATTTCAAATATTAATGGTCTATTTGTTGCGGGAGATCAATAACATAATATGTTATGGCGTCGATTCGGTTCGCCGGAATGGTCAGGCGAAATTCCGTTAGATGTGATAGCTATTTGAATTTTAAATGCCTGGCTAACGGCCTAGAGAACATGTTCTCAATATAAGCTGTTGTCAGTTAGATAACCCGATTACCCGACCCCGTCTTTATCCCATTGACAATGGCTCAATCTTTTATGAAATGGAATGGGTGCTTATAGTGATTGGGTTTTCTTATTTAATCAGCCCATGCCACACATTTAAATAATATGTCGTCTGTAAGGGGCAGATTTATTATTTACTTACGAAAACTCAAGCTAGATCACAGCTATTCTTTTCTGAAGTATAGTGTGTTTGGGATAGGGCTAGCGATAATTTAAGGCGATTTTATCGACGAAAATAATGCCCCCAAAAACGTGCCCTGCAAAACTGTTTTTTTTTGACAAAAACTAAAATTCATTAATTTCTTTTTAAGTTTTTTGGTCATTACTTTTCATTTTTGTGTTTTTTTTTAATGACACTTAATATTATTGGCTTACAGATGCAATTTTTTATTTATCTGTAAGACGGGCACGGGCACTGGGGGGCACCAGACCAGGCCATTCTGGGGTGCTACGCCGCCACTGCTTATCGTATCTTTAATTTCTGTCCCGTACTTTATTCTGATTAATTTTGTTTCCCAGGGCTGTGTTCAAGTTCGACGGAGCACGCATTGTATGCTCAGCGAGGGGCAGCGACTTCACAGAGTTCCGTACACAGTTCTCAGACGACGACCGTGCGTTTGGTTACCTTAGGTAAGGAAATTATTTAATTTACCCTAAACTTCGAACTCTTCAACTTCCATTTTTTTTTGTGGCGCGCCCATGTTTAATAGCGTCATATTCTTTAGGGTCTATCGACCGTCAAGCTGCAAAGCTCTTGGATGATCTAGAATCGCAAAGTATGTTTGGGCCGCATATGGCTGGCAAAAAGTATAGAGGACAGAATCGAACAGATGCGCTATTAATAAGACTTTTTTCTACATAGCCATGCTGGTTGGGAATTAGAATAACCTTGAAGCTAACATAGCTAAGTTCATATAGATTTAGAAGGAGGAATTTACTAAATTGGTTCGGGTCTGGAACCGTGGGGGACGCCCCCTGTATAAATTTCGTTGATCGGTACCTCGTAAATGAGGTATTGGTGTTATGAATGAAATAGGTTTAGTACCAAATCTTGAAACAATATTATTTGCCATCAATATAAATATCTTCAAATTGGTCTTTTTAAATTTCTGGAATAATAACCATTTGTATTTTCATTTCTTACAGGTTGCAGATGGGCGACGAAATGTCAAAACGTAAGAAATTCATGTTCGTCACTTGGGTAGGGCCCAACGTTTCAGTCATCAACCGGGCCAAGATGTCCACCGACAAAGCCATCATCAAGGATATTATCTCTGTAAGTATATCAGTCATCTGAATTTTAACGTTTAACTCACACTCCAGTACTTTGATTTATCTTAAAGAGTGGTGAAAAATTGTTAAAGTTGCTATGTAGAAAAAAAAAATAGAATTGACTCCGAAAATAAACATAATGTAGCATGATAATACTTGTATTTAGGTAAAAAGTAAAATTACAAATAAATAAAAAAACCTTAAAATCTAGAAAATCTAAACATCACATAAAATCGTAAAGATATTTTCGTACATTAAAACCAACAGTTTGAGCCACAGCTGTTATAAAATCATAACCCACTATGCATTTATATTTAGCTGAATCCAAATCAATTTCCTTGCTTCCAGCAATTAGTTTGAGTTCCACCAAAGTAGCAATCTGCGCTAGCAAGTTACTTGTGAGACCAATCTTTTCCTCTAAAATAGCATAAAATATTGCCAGCAACCGGTCCAATGTAAACACTTTGGGCCCAAGCTGGGTATTCAATTTCTCATTAATTTTTGCCTTCGCTTTGACTTGTTGCAATCTTTTTCGCTGCTTTCCATGGTATTTCATAAACAGTCTCTTGTCTTCTTTCGGAGGGTTGTAACTTGCCAAGTATGCAGCTATTAACAAATATTTAGCATAGTATGGCAGCTCAAAGCTCTGTGCAAATGTTTTAGTCGAAGTTAGTTCTTCCTTTAAAGTGTTTTCAAAGTTGTAGCTCTGAGATTCTATTGAGTCACTATTTTCTTTACCAGGCGATGGTTTATGTGACTTACTGGTACTTATCCGCAAATACAAGAGTTCTAAACTGGTCTTCAATATTGGGGATATGTGGCGCCACAGTTTTGATAAATCTTGTGCTTGGATTTCATTCCTTATGATCGGCTCACAGTATTTTACAAAGTTGACTCTAGCCATATGTTGCAACTCAATCAAGTCTCGACACGGTCTATAGAAAACGCTTAGAAATGCATTTAGAAAGTTTGCAAATAGTTCAGGCCTTTCTAGTTCAATTCTGATCTCATTGTCAACATCAGCGTTGCTCAAAACATGCCTCACAAAAGACTTTTGGTGTAGAAATATAATTTTAAAGAGTTCTTCTTTGTTGTAATTGGGAAAGTACATTTTAAGAGGCTCGCGAACGCCCATTTTGAAATAGAAATTGTCATAGACTAAATGAGTAACAAATACAGTGCAGATGTTGAGGTTACAAAGTTCACGGAGGCGCAAAAGAGCCGATATCACACTTTCATCCATGTTTCTTAGCCGTTCAGCTCTGTCAAACACTAAAACAATAGGCTGGTACTGTACTAGGTTATGTCCAATACGATTCAGAGCGTTTGTAAAATCCATTATCGACTCGCATTTCGTTTCAATCTCGTCGTCTTCCAAAGAGTTAAGTATAGTTTCGTACATTATTTTGGCCGAGTAGCACTCAATACAATCAACAATAACATGTTTGTAGCCCAAATAACGCAGCACAGATGTAATACACAAACTCTTACCAGTGCCCATACTTCCGCTGATATACAATGAACAAGGGAGCGGCTCATCGTACTCGCCGAAGAAATGCAACAAATCGTTTAGTTGGTCCTCTCGACAAGGCACTCTACTGCCCAATTCTTCCATGTTTTGCTTCTAAAACACTCCCAATTTTCATTTATTTACGTGAACACCGTTGATTTTTGACGATCCGATTATTTTGACGTTTGGTTTCCCGCGCTTTAATGTCATCGATGTCACCACAGATGTCACGTTCAACGTGCGGTTTCATAACGTCGAACATGTATTTTATTCATTTAACTAAGCTTCTAGCATTTATTTCAAATCTATTGGTAGGAACTTTACTAAAAACTATTATTGGCCATGACCATATAGAGATTTATTTTGCGATTTCTTTAATAATTATTAATAAGTCAATTATAATAAAATTGACTAATATAAATTATCTTCTAGTTAAATGAACAGTGAACATAAAGACAGCGCTATCTACCAGTCGACCGTGGTGATCTCTCCTAGCTTTATGAATTTTTGGTCATAACTTTATTAAAATAATTTTAATATTAATTGTTACAGAATTTTGCAGTCGAGTTGCAGTTGGAAAGCCAAGCTGAAATAGACATTGACCAATTCAAAGATGCCTTGAACAGAGCAGGTGGCGCAAACTACGGGACCGGAGTGAGGGACTTATGAATTGCTCAGTAAAATAAAACTGCCACTCTTGCCAGCATTTATTTTGTCCGTACCTATACATTTTTAATGAAAAAGATGATAAAAATATGAATTTGATAACAGAAAAGTTTTCAAATCAGTGGCAAGAGTTTATTTTTTATTAAAAATTAAGCTAATCGGGCCCCAAATTACTTTTTATACGATAGTCATGTGCTTTCGGTTATTGTACGTAACTATGTCGTTGTAAATTAATAATTTAATTCAAAAAACTTTATTTTTTCGAGTTTAAAACTTATTTATTTTTGTTTACAAAGAAATAATAAATTGGCTGGCATTGTACCTCAATTATGTTTTCGGATTTTAATAAAAGTGCGAATAACTGTAATACAAGGCATTGTGCAATTATTATTTCGGTATAGTAATATAGTAAGGTTTTTGCCAAAAATATTAGCAAATGTTGCCATGTAGAAGGCGCTACTAAGTGCATTTATTTTTTGTCAACATGTATTTTATGACAATGTCAAAATTTTACAATGTATTGTATACAAAATTTGGATTTTATGGGCTTTATACATTGAATAGTGTTATTATTACCCAGCATTATTATTGGTAAACCAACTGAAATAAATACAAATAACCAAACAACAATGTTTTTTGTTTTATTTACTACCTTGACACACACTTCACCACATCTAATTTATTTTATTTACAAAATTATGATTGAAACATATTATATTTTAAAATCTATTCTAAAAATTAATGTACCACCTCAGAACTAGAACTTCTTGTGTGAGTAGGCTGAAATGATAATGATTATTGTATTTAGCTAATTGATTATTGTGGATGTAGTCATGAATTATTTTTAAATCTAAATAGGAACCAAAAAATTTCATGAATTAGAATAACGTGCACTTCATTGGCGCTTTGTTAAAACCATTTTCATTCAATTTGCCTCCTCCTTTACGCTGCCACCCGGAGCATGCCTAGGCCAGGCAGCGCCCCGGTTTGTCCCCCCCCCCCTAAATCCGTGCCTGAGTTATATTAAAATTTTAAACTCTTATGACGTCTCCAATATCCATCCATAGTCCATAATCTTCAGCACCCAGTACCTACAAGATACAAAAAAAAATATCTTCGTAGAACGGAACGGTAGTTTCGTTTAGAAATTCTTCTTGTACCTATCAAGAAAATCAGGGGAAACTTCGAAGTGGCAAGGCGCGCTTCCGAAAGTTTTAAATTAATAAAACTAAATCTGTTAGATTTTTGTTGTTAGGAAAGTTTATTAAGACGATGGGGAGGGGTAGTAAAAAAAGGAAAAAAGTGGAGGTCACCGATTTGGATCCGGGCGATCGCAGCAACGGCGATACTAGTTCATCAGATTCCGAGGTGGAGGATGGTCAGGGAAGTGTTCTTGTTCCGTATTATGTTACTGACTACACCAGGTTATACCCAGAGGACTCTGCAGCTTTTGAATTCGTAGTCTTCATAGAGTCAGCTGATAGCCAGAGGCCCATTGGTACCAGAGATTTATTATCTCTTTCCAACGTTCTGAGAAGGTACAATAAAGGCGTTAAGTATTTGAAAGCACTCAACAAGTACAAAATAGGAGTCTACTTTGAAAAGCCAGGTCTAGCCAATGCACTACTGAATAATAAAACCTTCTTAAGTGATAATCAGTTCAAAGCCAGCATTCCAGCTTCATCCACCGAAACCACGGGGATAATTCGAAATGTGCCTATAAAGTACAATAACAAAAAAATCTTTACCATGTTGAGCAGTAGCAAGAAGATTATCAGCGTTCGCAGATTCTTCCGCAAAGACACCACAACTGAAGGTTTCTCTCAAAAACCGAAGATAAGGTTTCTATGGCATTTTATGACCTAAATGTCAAGATTGGTCATGGGATAAAATTACCATCTGCAGCAAGTATTTATACTGCCGAGGCATGCGCAGTGCTGGCTGCTCTGGAGTACATTGAGCATTCAAACATTGAAAAATGGATAATAGTTACCGACAGCATGAGTGTTTTAGAAGCTTTGTCGAACCCGTGTCATAACGCAAAAACAAACTATATTATTTTTCAAATAAAAGAAAAATATCACAAACTATGTAACATGGGCAGAGATATTATTCTTTTCTGGACACCTTCACATGTGGGCGTGGTGGGCAATGAAGAGGCAGACACTTTAGCTAAGCTTATAACAAACACATCAGATGTAGTACCTGTTAAGAAGATCAAAATATCATATACAGACTGTTCAACCCTTTTAAAAGAATTAATGAAGAAAAAATGGCTAGACCATTGGCAAGAAAGTATTCAAACTAAAGGAAAATGGTACCACCAGATTAACCATGGAATAGGAAAGCCCTGGTTTACAAAAGGAACCTATAAGAACAGAAAGTTTTATTCTTACATATCAAGATTAAGAATTGGACATGGCCGATTTAATGAACATCTCCACCGGATGAACATGATCACCTCCCCATCATGCTCATTCTGCAATCAAGCTAATCAATCCCTCCATCACATATTCTTCGAGTGTTCTATATTTTCACTCCAAAGACTCATTTTGATAGAAGACTTATTACAAGTTTATAAAGAACCAGAAGTCATCCCGCGCTCTCTACCTGATCTTCTCAAAAATGAAAACTGTTTTGTAGCATTATACAAGTTCTTAGTTACCACTAAAGAAGAAATTTGAAGAAATTCAAAGCCGAAGTTGAAGGGAAAGAAATAATAATAATTACTCAGTCGGCTTCAAAATGAAAATGTTTCCTCTCTCTCGCGCCGTCTCCGTGAATACAAACTGAAGACTTGGCTGTATGGCGAATGCCTTTGCCTTTTCCTGCAAGAGGAAAGAACGAAACCAAAAAAAAAAAAATCAAGAAAATCAAATTCCTCTATGGCCAAAATGACAAAAATCTGGCAAAATTTTAGACATACTCTCTAATCTGTGGGCAAAATATTAATTAAAAACAAGACGATAAGATGTACATAATTTCGTGTCCACTTAGTAGAATTAGTAAATAATGTTATGTTACTGTTTTTTCATGTACATGAAATATTAATAATTTACTTTATCTGACACGTACTTTTTTTTTTCTGAACGAAAATCTCACTTGTGAATGATTTGGCAACTTGAAAGAAAGAAAGCGATTTTTTTACTAACTTTCGATTTTTTTATTAATTCAAAAGTAATTTATGCGATTTCCGTGTTACATTTATAAAATTTATTATATTTTTCATGCATAGCTGCAACAAGAACGATTGATTCGCCGATAAAACCCGACGGTAAGTGCTTTATAAAATAGCGCTTACGCCCGTATGATTTTATGTATTTCCGAATTGTTTGTTTTGAAAACTGACATTTTCTCGTTATGTAAGTAATCACAATGTTATTACGAACGTTCGGGACATGTATAACTGTGATTAAATATCACCCGGCAACTGGTACAGGTAAATGGCCGACTATTAATGTTGTTGGTATTTTTAGGCGTATCGCAGGATTCTTGACGTATCGGGAAACTTGAATTACATTTTGATCAGCTTTTAATTGACATAACCTCAACCGTAAATTATCAGTAACTTTGTATGAACAAAAGATAAAAGAAAATATTTTCAATCACTTCTAACTTAAGAAATTGTCATGGGTATGTAAAATATAATTGGTTATTTTGTGATTGAAACCCATTATTGTGTTACTTGTACTTAAAGTTCTTGTCAAAGTTTATTACCCTTTGTCTTGTTATCACAAGGCATTTATCACTTTTACATTAGTTTTTATTACTTTTACATTTGTTTTATCACTGCTTTTAGTAATACCAGTTTCAGCAGTGCATAATGTAGGTTGAATAGTATTTTATTTTTATTCTACAATTATCACTAACTGAAATTTGTATAAGAAATAGGCCAACATTCTAAATGATACTTGAAACTCATTTAAACTCAATTAAAAGTGGTTGAACTCCAATATTAAATAGTGTAGATTCATATTTGCTAGTTATAAATTGAGAAATTGAAGAGTCAGTAAGTAATAAAATCACATAACAATAAATACTTAATTATTTCTGAATATACGAATGATTTTGCAACATTTTACTCATAGAAGAACCTCTATCATGTCAGCATTCAAACAAAAAACAGCTAAAAATCATTCAGATAGTTCAAACTAGACTCTCCTTTTGTGCCAGGGGTTATGATAAATGCATAATGGTGGTAATTGTATAGTAGTTTTATTATTTATTAAAAAGTAAACTATAAAGTATTTTATTTGCCAACAAAACGTTTACAGTCTGTTCTTGTTCTTGGGCGGAAAGCTAGTTGATAATAAAATATAATAGTGAGAACACACAGTACATGGCAATTAACAGTTATCAAACTCTTAAAATAACTGGAATATTTTACTTAAATTAAACAAAAAGTAACTGAGGTAGTGTAATTAACTGACCAATATTTTTCTCCAGTTCGCAGGATGTCCAACGCATCCGTGAACATTAAGTTTCGTTGGGGGCTCACGCCTTCCGACCCGGAGCAGCAGCCCGTCCTGATTGTGGGACAAGCCGCTCACCTCAACAGCTTGTCGTGGAACGATATACGATGCAAACTGGAGCCTAGAGTCTCGGAGGAGGTGGGTATTTGTAAAATAAGTAAATGCTGTGTATAGACATAAAAATTAAAATATGCAGCAGATAAGTTAGTTTTTTATGTTGCATTGTTACTAAAAGTGGTTAATAGTGTAAAAATGAGATAGGCGATAATGTATAGTTCCAAAATACTGAACTGTCCTATCCATGACGTTGACAGTGGGGCGCCACCGTCAATACCGGATCGCTGCTTCCGATTTTTGCCATGTTGGAAACCATATTATGTTGAACGAACGTAGCGCCCCCCTGTCATTGAGTTTGGTGGGACAGTTCAGCGTGGGTCATCTATACAATTTATTTTGAAATCGCTTGTCAATTTTAAGGTCAGAAGGTGAAATAAAAGTTAGAATTTTGTGTGTCAGAGAAGACCATTTTTATCAACTTTTTCAAATTAGTACTAACTCCAAAATTTCAATATCTAGACTAGAAGACCCAATCTAAGATTTGCATGTTATGTTACCACCATGCTCATGGTAATAAATCCATTAGTTATTGTAACAGCTGACTAAGATGCCCATAGCTGCTTTTAAACCCTTAATCCATATACACAGAAAATAGCTACAAATTGATGCCATTTTCATCTCACCCTTGTCACTCCAGGCATGGAAGCGAGGCCTTTCCTGCGTGACGTCATCGCCAGGCGACGCATGCGAGCTCTGGCCTCGCGCCGCGTCACTGGCGACGTTGCCAGCTCGCCGCTCGCGTCATGCGGCTCCGTCGCGTTGCCACGCGCTAGCCAAGATCGTGAGGGGCACCCAGCGGTCGACAGATGAGTTTATTGTGGTGAGTCTTGTGGATTATCTGAGGGAGATGTTAGCGAGTTTTGTACTGCAACGTTAGCGACGTTGTCAGCTCGCCGCTCGCGCCATGCGGCTCCGTTGCGCTGCCACGCGCTAGCGAAAATCGTGAGGGGCACCCAGCGGTCCACGGATGAGTTTATTGTGGTGAGTGTCTTGTTCATTTTTTAAGGGAGATGTTTGCGAGTTCTGTACTGCAACGTTGGCGACGTTGCCAGCAGATACCATATTGTAAAAAAGTTCTTGAGAGTACCTTCATCTTTGATCCACCATACACAGACAGCTTGAAGTAGCTAGTATCGACAGCTTTAAGCTGCGACTGCATAGTAGACTACCTACAGTATTCTATGTACCATACACAGAACTACTGATGGTGAAATTACAATTGACTATGACTGCAAGAGCGGTCTGTGTATGTTTTTAAATAAATATTAGATTAATACATTATTTTATCGCACTGCTGTGCTGATTAAAGCCGGTACGGCTGGTATGTAGCAGTCTTTATACCAAGTCCTTTTGCCTATTGTCCACGGCAGAAATCGTCCGGCTTGCCCGGGCCCGTCTTAGGCTTGTTTTATAGTCACGCTGATCGTTCACGCCGGTAGATCAATATGTATTATGTACTTTTTATAGCGTCGACGATCTGCCTAAATGATGACTGATGACTAAAGCCTGGTCTGTGAGCACGTAGAATTTTGTCCAATGACCGCAAGCTATATCCTTATCGCTCGCGCGTAATTATGTTGCTGTCGCGCTCGCACACTCACTGCGGGTGCCCGTCGCACAGTCGCGACAGCAATATAATTACGTGCGAGTGATAAGGATGGGTAGCTTGGGGTCATTGGACGAAATCTATCGGCTCGGCGACCGGACTTTAACCTAACTTATTGTCTTTATCGCAGCTGGTGTGTCGCAAGCGTGACGTATACGCGAGCGCGGCAGCAGTGGCGCGCTCGTTCCCATTATTCGGGGCACGCACCGCTGCGCCGCTCGCCGCCGCGCCCGCGCCGTCTGCTCCACGCACGCTCACGGTCGAGATACAGCTGGTCGATGCCACGCAGAGTGAGTTATAACTCTTAGTTTCTTATCTAAAGTGTAGCGGCACCATTGCTGCCCGTCGAAATACAGCTTGTTGATGATAGTAAGTCATAATTATGATACTTATAAGCGTCTTTCAGGGCGTCTTTAACCTACTAGGGGCTCTGGACAGGACCAAGGGGTCTCTTTTGAAAAAGGTCTTTTTTGAGACCTGACGAGGACCCCTCCATCGCGGAGTCTTCAGACAGAGAGAGAGAGAGAGTGCAAAAGAAATGACTGCGTCATTTTCGATATTGCAGATAAAATCTTATCGATGATTTTAGGCATTTTTGAGTTTATAGATAAAATGGCGCGATAAAATCTTATCGCGACGCGCATCTTAAGCCTATAGGTTCATCATAAGACTATCAATAACATCGTAGCACACTACACTATGGATGGCCGTAAGCGCGATGTCATTCAAGGCGTCTTTAACCTACTAGGGTACACTTAAGCATCAAGCGGGCTCTTTTCATCTTGATATAAGTACACTACACTATGGGAGTGCCGCAAGCGCCAATTTTTAGAATCATTTAGGGCGTCTTGAACCTACTAAGGTACACTTATCAAGCGGGCTCTTTTCATCTTGATATAAGTACACTACACTACTGGTGTGTCTTGAGCGCGGCGTGTGCGCGAGCTTGCAGCAGTGGCGCGCTCGTTCCCATTGTTCGGCGCGCGCACCGCTGCGCCGCTCGCCGCCGCGCCCGCGCCGTCTGCTCCACGCACGCTCACGGTCGAGATACAGCTGGTCGATGCCACGCAGAGTGAGTTATTATAAACCTTAGCCTCTTTTAAATAAGGTCTTCTATACTGCACCTTTTAGGCAGTAAAGTGAAGCGTCACCGTCGATGCACCCGCGCCGTCTGCTCCACGTACGCTCACGGTCGAGATACAGCTGGTCGATGCCACGCAGAGTGAGTTATCACCCTTAGTTTCTTATCTGAAGAGTGTAGTGCAGCAATGGCGCCCGCGCTGTCCGTCGAAATACAGCTTGTTGATGATAGTAAGTCATAATTATGATACTTATAAGCGTCTTTCAGGGCGTCTTTAACCTACTAGGGGCTCTAGACAGGACCAAGGGGTCTCTTTTGAAAAAGGTCTTTTTTGAGAGCAGACGAGGACCCCTCCATCGCAGATTCCTAAGCATGTGCTCAAAGAGAGAGAGAGAGAATGGAAAAGAGACGCCTGCGTCATTTTTATATTAGCAAGTTTAGGACGCGCGTTGATTCATGATTGTAGGCGACAAACGTATGGGTTTTTCGATAAAATGACGCGATAAAAGCCTATCAATAACATCGTAGCACACTGTACTACTGGTGTGCCTTGAGCGCGGCGTGTGCGCGAGCGCGGCAGCGGTGGCGCGCTCGTTCCCATTGTTCGGCGCGCGCACCGCTACGCCGCTCGCCGCCGCGCCCGCGCCGTCTGCTCCGCGCACGCTCACGGTCGAGATACAGCTGGTCGATGCCACGCAGAGTGAGTTATTATAGACCTTAGTCTCTTCTCATTTAAAGGTGCCCCTTTAACCTACTAGGGGCCGTCGAAACAGACAGCTCGTGGACGCTACGCGGAGTGAGTACTCTCTTCCACGAATAAACCAAGGACTTCACCTTTCGAATGCTCACCTACTAGGGGCCCTGGGTACTTAAGGATCAAGGAGGCTCTGTTCATCTTAACAAAGGTCTCTTTTGAGAGCAGACGGGAGCGAGAGAGAGTAGGAAAGAGATGCCTACGTCATTTTCGATATTGCAGGGCTAGGATGCGTGTTGTGATAAAATCTTATCCTTGATTGTAGGCGACAAATGTATGGATTTTTAGATAAAATGACGCGATAAAAGCCTATCGCGACGTGCACCTTAGGTCTACAGGTCCATCGTAAGACTATCAATAACATCGTAGCACACTACGAAGCGCGATGTCATTCAGGGCGTCTTTAACCTACTAGGCTACACTTAAGCATCAAGCGGGCTCTTTTCATCTTGATATAAGTACACTACACTATGGGAGTGCCGCAAGCGCCAATTTTTAGAGTCATTTACGGCGTCTTGAACGTACTAAGGTACACTTATCAAGCGGGCTCTTTTCACCTTGATATAAGCACACTACACTACTGGTGTGCCTTGAGCGCGGCGTATACGCGAGCGCGGCAGCCGTGGCGCGCTCGTTCCCATTATTCGGCGCGCGCACCGCTGCGCCGCTCGCCGCCGCGCCCGCGCCGTCTGCTCCACGCACGCTCACGGTCGAGATACAGCTGGTCGATGCCACGCAGAGTGAGTTATATGCTACTTACTTCTTCTTCTTCTCTTTGTTCTTCTGGGCTTCTTGGCGGGAAAGTAAAGCATCACAGTCTCTGCGCCTGCGCCGCTCACATTCACCGTCGAGATACAGCTTGTTGATGCCACCCAAAGTAAGTCTGGTCCGTGAGCACGTAGAATTTTGTCCAATGACCCCAAGCTACCCATCCTTATCACTCGCGCGTAATTATATTGCTGTCGCGACTGTGCGACTGGCACTCGCAGTGAGTGTGCGAGCACGATAGCAACATAATTTACTTATGCGTCTTTAACCTACTAGGGGCCATAAACAAGATCAAGGGAACTCTTTTGAAAAAGATCTTTTTTGAGAGCAGACGAGGACCCCTCCATCGCAGATTCCTAAGCATGTGCTCAGAAAGAGAGAGAGAGAATGGAAAAGAGACGCCTGCGTCATTTTCATATTAGCAAGTTTAGGACGCGCGTTGATTCATGATTGTAGGCGACAAACGTATGGGTTTTTCGATAAAATGACGCGATAAAAGCCTATCAATAACATCGTAGCACACTGTACTACTGGTGTGCCTTGAGCGCGGCGTGTGCGCGAGCGCGGCAGCGGTGGCGCGCTCGTTCCCATTGTTCGGGCGCGCACCGCCGCCGCGCCCGCGCCGTCTGCTCCACGCACGCTCACGGTCGAAATACAGCTAGTCGATGCCACGCAGAGTGAGTTATAATCCTTGCTCTCTTTTAAATAAGGTCTTCTATACTGCGGCTTTTAGGCAGTAAAATGAAGCGTCACCGTCGATGCGCCCGCGCCGTCTGCTCCGCGCACGCGACCGGTCGAGATACAGCTCGTGGACGCCACGCAGAGTAAGCTATTTATCTATAGTCTGGTTTGCGAGCACGTAGAATTTTGTCCAATTACCCCAAGCTCGCGTGTAATTATGTTGCTGTCGCGCTTGCACACTCACTGCGGGCGCCCGTCGCAGTCGCGACAGCAATATTCATTGGACAAAATTCTACGTGCTCACAGACCGAGCTTAGATGGTTTATAAGGTATTTTTATGCATAACAAGACAGGTATTTGACCACAATCGCACCTGGTGTTAAGTGGGATGCAGTCTAGGATGGTACATAATATCTGACCTGTAAATGCCTATTCACTCTCGCTTTGAAAAGGCCCGGATTATAGTCTCCGGAAGTTTTCCCCTTCCTCTTCATTTAACATCCTCATCTAGATAAAGAAGATTCACAACAACAACAAGATTCAAACTGAGCAATTTACTTCAAAGCAAATTGCTTAGTTTGAATCTTGTTGTTCTTTTTTTTTTTTCAATGTTACAACCTTAACCGCCTCTGTGGTCTAGTGGTAAGACCACCTGCTTCAGACGCAGAGGTCCCGGGTTCGATTCCCAGTGGGGGCAGATTTTTCTGTTCGGTTCGGTTGGTGGTAGGGAGCCAGTTCTTCCGTGGTTGAGGATTCCGGGTGAAGCTCGTTTCCACCTTCGGCCTGATCGTCACTTACCATCAGGTGAGATACAGGCCAAGAGTTTCCTCGTTTGAATAAAAAAACCTCATTTCTCTCCACAGACAGCGACTCAGACGACGAAGACATCTCATCGTCCATCCCGGCGTCAGACACCACGCTATCAAGCGAGGAACTGAGCACCATTCAGGACCTAGCAGACGCCACCAGACTGGCTGCGCGTATTACGGACACGCCTGCTAATATCATGAACGTGGACAAGTTCATAGAGGTAAGACCATTAGAAATTCACACACACAAAGTAATCAAAATATGTGCTCATTATCCACTGAAGTATCAGTACTCAACGTTCGAATAATCTTTAGTACTAAGCAAGCAATGTAAACTGTTTACATTATGACGTCGCTGCTGTCATCATTGCTTTCACGAGCAATGTGTTCTGTTTTTGGGCATATTGCTGCGACACCGGCCCCGCCCCCTTGTCACATCTCCCTTTAGTTTCTGTGATCTGTGGTCTCACTGTGGTCTGTGGTGAGTGTTTAAAGCCTGGTCCGTGAGCACGTAGAATCCCGTCCAATGACCCCAAGCTGCCCATCCTTGTCGCTCGCACGTAATTATGTTGCTGTCGCGCTCGCACACTCACTGCGGGCGCGCGTCGCACAGTCGCGACAGCAATATAATTACGCGCGAGCGATAAGGATGGGTAGCTTGGGGTCATTGGACGGGATTCTACGTGCTCACGGACCAGGCTTTACATTATTTTAAGTTATTTTAGGAAATTAGCGATGTGACATGATTTTTTTGTATCTAATACTATTACTGACTAAACCCCATCATTTCAGGAAGCCATAGCCGTAGCCAAAGAGCTAGATATCCCAGAACCGACCATAATCCGCGGCGAGGAGTTAAAAGAACGCGGCATGGGCGGTATCTACGGCGTGGGCGCCGCCGCCGTCTGCCCGCCCGCCCTAGTCGTGCTGTCATACACCGCGCCCGCCGCCCAGGAAACCGTGGCTTGGGTCGGGAAGGGCATCGTGTATGACACCGGCGGCCTGAGCATCAAGGCGAGAGTGAGTACGCCTAAATCAAATCAAATCAAATTAAAAATATTTATTCAGTTTAGACCACAAGTGGCACTTATGAACGTCAATAAACTACACGCTACACCGCGCTACATTGCGCTACACCACGCTACACCACGCTACACCACGCTACACCGCGCTACACTACACTACGCCGCGCCCGCCGCCCAGGAAACCGTGGCTTGGGTCGGGAAGGGCATCGTGTATGACACCGGCGGCCTGAGCATCAAGGCGAGAGTGAGTACGCTACACGCTACTCCGCGCTACACAACGCTACCCCACGCTACACCGCGCTACACCACGCTACACTACGCTACACCGCGCTTCACAGCGCTACACCACGCTACACCGCGCTACACCACGCTACAACACGCTACACTGCGCTACACCGCGCTACACTACACTACGCCGCGCCCGCCGCCCAGGAAACCGTGGCTTGGGTCGGGAAGGGCATCGTGTATGATACCGGCGGCCTGAGCATCAAGGCGAGAGTGAGTACGCTACACGCTACTCCGCGCTACACAACGCTACCCCACGCTACACCGCGCTACACCACGCTACACTACGCTACACCGCGCTTCACAGCGCTACACCACGCTACACCGCGCTACACCACGCTACAACACGCTACACTGCGCTACACCGCGCTACACTACACTACGCCGCGCCCGCCGCCCAGGAAACCGTGGCTTGGGTCGGGAAGGGCATCGTGTATGATACCGGCGGCCTGAGCATCAAGGCGAGAGTGAGTACGCTACACGCTACACCACGCTACACCGCGCTACACTACACTGGTACGATACCGGCGGCCTGAGCATCAAAGCGAGAGTGAGTACGCTACACGCTACACTGCGCTACACAGCGCTAGACCACGCTACACTGCGCTACACTACACTACGCCGCGCCCGCCGCCCAGGAAACCGTGGCCTGGGTCGGGAAGGGCATCGTGTATGACACCGGCGGCCTGAGCATCAAGGCGAGGGTGAGTACGCTACACGCTACACCGCGCTACACTAAGCTACACTACGCTACACCGCGCTACACTACACTACGCCGCGCCCGCCGCCCAGGAAACCGTGGCCTGGGTCGGGAAGGGGTACAGCGCTACACCACGCTACACTACACTACGCCGCGCCCGCCGCCCAGGAGACCGTGGCCTGGGTCGGGAAGGGGTACAGCGCTAGACCACGCTACATTCTTCCGTCACTTCTCAGCACTAGCCCATATGTTGTCCCAAAGTGGTAGCAGGGCAAGCTATATTTGGGACGAGTCTAAGCGCTCTGGAAAGGGCCTAAGGACGGAATAAATGATTTGATTTGACTATTTCTGAACTATAATAATTATTATTATTAAGATTCTTGTTCCGGCTTTTCTTCTCACCACTTGCCATATGTTTGTCTCGAAGCGCTGGTAGGACCCAAAAGATAAGGAGACACGTAAATTGCCCCTTAAGGGTTACCTTTTTTTTTTAAACTGTATTGACGTTCATAAGTGCCACTAGTCACTAGTGGTCTAAATTGAATAAAATATTTTTGATTTTGATTTCTTGTCCACAGACCTCCATGGTGGGCATGAAAGGCGATTGCGGCGGCGCGGCGGGTGTACTCGGGGCTTTCGCCGTGGCTGTCAAAGCCAAGCCCACGGTTAATCTGCACGCCGTACTGTGCCTGGCAGAGAACGCTGTGGGACCTAAGGCTACCAGGTGAGAGAATATGGTTTGTCATGTGTACTTCGTAATATGAACACTGCAAAATGCGCACCTTGCTATATGCCCTTATGAGCATGTCAAGATAAATGCTTGACATGCTATTAAGCCTATTGGCGCAATGGCCCACTATTTTCTATGATAGTTTTGTGCTTACTGTAATCAATAAAGTCAATCCTATATTAACCGGCAGACAGTGGTGACTGAGTTTGTTGCGGCGCTTCTTCTCAGCACTTGCCAAATGTTGGTCTCGAAGCGCTGGTAGGGTAAAAAGATTATGAGACATGTAGAATTGTAGAGGCTCCTTAAGAGAAAAATGTCGATTTGTAAGAACTATTTATTAGTCTAAACAAATAAAGACTTTGACTATGACTTTGACCTATTCTATAATGAAAAGGCTGAAGAATTTGTTCCTATAATATGAGATAATGCTTCAAACCCAGAGACCTTTTTTAAAAAGTTACTAGCCACGTTTGACAAGACCAACTAAAACCCTCGGCCGCGTGTCAAAATCTACTGAGCGAATTTTAATGCGGTTTTCATCAATGCATTAGACTGATTCATAAGCAAGGTGTATAATTCTTCCATGATGGATAAATAACAGACTCATAGATATATGAAAACGACGCCAAAATAATTTTCTAAAACTTTTTTTATACTATGCTTCTGTTGGTAAATAGATCCATATTATTTGTCTACAGACCTGACGATATCCACCAGCTGTATTCCGGTCGCACTGTAGAAATCAACAACACAGATGCTGAAGGTAATATTGCACTTTTTTATTTTACCTTGAAATATTCGAAGTGCTGATAAAGCAATAAGATTATGAGGTTTGTAAGGTTCAGTACTATCGTTGGTGCATTTCACAGTGTGTACAAGATCTTACAAACTTCTCCATAAGAGCAGGCGTAGATGGCGCTGTATAGAATCAAAAGTATACTCGTTCTTTCGTTTCAGCCGAATGACGTCCACTGCTGGACAAAGGCCTCCTCCAAGGTTTTCCACAATGAACGGTCTTGCGCTGCCCGCATCCAGGCTCTTCCCGCGACCTTTACCAGATCGTCGGTCCACCTAGTAGGAGGCCTGCCCACACTACGTCTTCCAGCCCGTGGTCGCCACTCGAGAACTTTTCTGCCCCAACGGCCATCGTCTCTACGAGCTATGTGCCCCGCCCACTGCCACTTGATTTTAGCAATTCTGCGAGCTATGTCGGTCACTTTGGTTCTCCTGCGGATCTCCTCATTTTTGATTCGATCACGCAGGGAAACTCCGAGCATAGCCCGCTCCATCGCTCTTTGGGTGACCTTGAGCCTTTTATGAGGCCCATAGTAAGCGACCACGTTTCAGATCCATATACCATCACTGGCAACACACATTGGTCAAATACTTTTGACTTGAGACACTGCGGTATTTCGGACGGAAAAGTATACTAAAATGTTACAATTGATTTTTCAGGACGTCTGGTGTTGAGTGACGGTGTGGTGTACGCTTCGAGAGACTTGAAGGCTGACACCATTGTGGACGTTGCTACACTGACCGGTGCACAGGTATTGTAAACTTTATTCACTTATTCCTAAAAACTAAAATAGCATAAAAAAACGCTTTAAAAATAGCATTCAAGAATAACACAAATGTTGCGCACGTTATATATAGCACTGGACATTTTGATATAATGGTGTTTATTTGTTGCTTGTTGGGCCTAAAATACATCGAAGAAGTCTAATATTATGTTTATGCTAAAAATCAACCAAATTGAGAACGTCCTTTTGTTAAAGTTGAAAAAAAATATATCTAAAATATTAAAAATGCGAAAGTTTGGATGTTTGTTACTCTTTCACGCAAAAACTACTGAACGGATTTTGATGAAAGTTTACAGTATTATTCTTTATAACCCAGAATAGCATATAGGCTATAATTTATGACGATCTGTGACACTAAATTTCATGCGGGCGAAGCCGCGGGCAAAAGCTAGTTTGTCATATTTCAAAAGGTGTCAGTTTGACGTACTAATTTTGGGACAACCTGTATATTCTACTTTATTTTCCAGGGCACAGCGACGGGCAAGTACCACGCAGCTATAGTGTCCAACGAGCGCGGCCTGGAGCAGCAGTGCGTGCTCGCCGGCGCGCTGTCGGGCGACCTGGCGCACGCGCTGCCATTCGCGCCCGAACTACACTTCACGGAGTTCAGCAGCGCCGTCGCCGACATGAAGAACAGTGTCGCTGTGAGTGCTGTATACTTCCAGAGATGCTACAGCCTCTCTCTTAAGCAAATAACTTCTTCCTTATACAGGCAGGCACCACGAGGACATAATGTCAGGCGACTTAACGCAAGCGCTGATATGAAAAATAAGCGACCCGGTCAGGTTAGTGTCAGTCTTCATATACATAATATAGCAGGCTACTTCACGTAAGTGCTGATGAGAAAAATAAGCAACGCGGTCAGTATCAGTCGTCCTGAAAAGTTCAATCGTTACTTCAGTAATTTTGTTTATTCTATACAGCGCCATCTAGGTGTGCTCTTAAAAAAAAAACAAAAAAAATACTTAAAAATCACAATATTTATGTCATACGGTTGGCAATGACATATTGAAGCTAAAAATTAGCAAATGACTCGCAAATGCCATAAACCTAGACTACTTTTGACGGCGCTGTGCGTCATTGACAGCTGTGCCCGATGACATGCGCTCGCGCACATGACAGCTCCTAGGAACACTTAGAATCTCATGATTTGCGACCAGGATCATACTTTGCCGCGCCTCGCCAAGTCCACACTTACTCTCACACATACCACGGGCAAGTACCACGCGGCTATAGTGTCCAACGAGCGCGGCCTGGAGCAGCAGTGCGTGCTCGCCGGCGCGCTGTCGGGCGACCTGGCGCACGCGCTGCCATTCGCGCCCGAACTACACTTCACGGAGCTCAGCAGCGCCGTCGCCGACATGAAGAATAGCGTCGCTGTAAGTGCTGTATACTTCCAGAGAGGCTACAGCCTCTCTCTTCATACATACAGGCAACCAAAAAGCAGAAATCAGGAGGTCATAGTGTCAGGCGACTTCACGCAAGCTCTGACGCGGAAAATAAGCGACACGGCCAGGTTACTTTTCCAGTACAAACAGGCGAGCACCACGCGGCCTAAGCAACGCAGCAGGGTTACTACGAAACGCTGTTTACGCAGTTTCGGGTCTATCTGTTACTGTGGCTCGTGCTGGCATCTCGCTTTGCGTGAGAGGGATGGCAACATTTTCAAAGTAGCCCCACAGATGTGGCGAAATGGACTGAAGAGACTAAGAAGGAAATTACTTAAAAACTCGAATATTTATGTCATACGGTTGGCAATGACATATCGATACTAAAAATTTGCAAATGGCTCACAAAATACTACTTTTGGCGGCGCAGCGTGACTCGTGACAGCTCCGTCCGATGATATGCGCTCGCTTACTCGACAGCTTCTAGCAACGCTTAGAGTGCATCGTTAGGTCCACCCTGGCTCTCCTGGCTGTCATACATGGAGGCAAGTATCACGCGGCCATCGTCTCCAACAAGCGGCTCCTAACCTCCTTAGAAGAGTATTTGCTATTGGAATAGTTTTTTGACGGATTCAAATCTGACGTAGTAACCGCTGTTAGGCAGCTTTTCTTACGTCATTAGGTATCTTATGTTTAGATATTGAAATATTTTCTATTTTTTCTGATGTAAAGTCTGTTCGCCGAGAGTTAATAAATATTATGGAATGTCTTGCAATAGCGACTGTCGCTTAATTATCGCATTCTGTATGGCGGGCGTCGTTTGTCACAACGCGCACTGAGTACCATGGTACGAGCCACGCAGCTGTCGTCAAGCGCCCCGGCCGGCGGGCGGCGGCGGCCAGCGTGACCACTTTTAGTAGATTTCTACTTTTTTGGTAGATTTGAGGCAAAGAGAACGATGATTTAGTAGTGCGAAATCGTTTAGTACATTTTGGTAGATAATTGGTATTTTTAGAACATTCTTATAAATTGTAGTCCAAAATTAAATTGTAACCGAGCCGGGAATCCAGGCCAAAAAAAAAAGGCCAGGCCAAATAATCTACCTACTTTTTCATTATATCGACAAAAATAATTAGCGGGCCGCAATTTATAATGAGTTTAAAACCTCTGATATTTTTTTTTATCAATTCTCGGCGAACAGACTTTAGGCAGGCCTGGCTCACTCCGCGCGGTACATCCGATAATTACCTACAGCGAAGCGCCCCGCCGGCGGGTATTATATCAGTCGAGTGTCAGGACGCTGGCGTGCGTTGTAGTACCTAATTCTATGATCGAAGTATTATTTAAACATAAAATATTTGGACATAAAGAGAAATAAATATTGTGCGGCGTTCGGGTGTTTAAATTCGAAAAGAAATCTACCGGATTTATCTTTTTTTTCGCTTCCCAAAGATGCTGAAAGGTATGTTGGCCATGTAGGTAATCAATAATTCTTAGGATAGTAGGTATATGAACCTAACCTACCATGACTACTGCTCAGAATGCGTTCGTTCGTTTCAGCCAAATGACGTCCACTGCTGGACAAAGGCCTCTCCCAAGGTTTTCCATAATGAATGCGTACTTACATACATACGTGTCATGAGGTACGTACCTCATGACATATAAGTAGATTAATTATTTTTTTCACTAGACAGCAAGAGCAACCCTAACAGCGTAAGAAGAGTTCAGAGGCACGCGATAGAAAGAGACAAAACTTGTAGGTGAATAAAATTGTAGGTACGTAGTGCTGTGCGAGCTGAATTCCACTGTATCGCGTCGCAGCAAGACTCGCATTTATTTAAATCGTCTTGCGGAGTAATCCTTCTGTACCTGTACTATTACTTATTCTGTGCTTTAGGTACTGATGATGTTATTTGTTATTGTAGGACCGCAACAACGCGCAGCCTTCGTGCGCGGCGCTGTTCGTGCTGGCGCACCTGGGCTTCGACTTCCGCGGCGCCTGGCTGCACGTCGACATGGCCGCGCCCGCGCACTGCGTACGTACCTATACTGTTTTTGTTATTAGACCGGCAGACAGTGGTGACTGAGTTTGTTGCGGCGCTTCTTCTCAGCACTTGCCAAATGTTTGTCTCGAAGCGCTGGTAGGGCAAAAAAAGAATGAGACATGTATAGGCTCCTTAAGAGCATTTGACGATTTGCAAGAACTAATTTAACCCTAGAGTAGTCGCGCCTTTTCGTGAAACGCGAGTGCTCGCGTATGAGCATTTTGCCGCCCAAACTTAAAAGTCCGGTTGTGTGTCAAATAATAGTTTAAAAATATGTAAATCAGTTCAAAATGATAGAATAAAACATACACTATTAGAGAATAACGTTTATTAAAGATTTGTGGTTAGAATTTAAAGAAAAAGAAATATTTTGGAAATGTTGAAAAATATTTATTGAATTCTTAGAAAAATCATTGTTTTTACCTACATAATTCATGAAAAAATAAACTTATTAGCACACTTAAAGGTTTTCTTCATCTATGATATGTGCTTCAGCAAAACAGTCCTGTCACATGTGCATTTAATATGCGTTGCACAGTAAATTTGCACAGCTATTACACCCTTGGCACATCATCTTCAGATTCTGTCGCTGATTGTTCTATAACAGTATTGTAATGACTATGTTTACTTTCTTTATAACTTTAGTATACATTTTCCACTAATTTTAGTGCACCAGCTTCTTCGAAATCCGACATGTTCCTTGTTTTTTCATTTTTTGTATTTTACGTGAATTTTACCGAAAACGACATGAAATAAATTAAGCACTAATAGTAATTATCAATGTTATGACGTCATTAATATCAAAACAACATTATACGCAATAAAAACTAATAATCTTCCAACTACACTAAAAACCAGACACACAAATTTTACTTACGTCAGTAGTCGCGCAGTGAGCAATTTGCCGCAAAACGTGACATACGTTCAACAATCGTTCTCTATTGCGGTCATCTGCGCACTAAATTTCTTCTAATTTCTAATACATGGAGGTGAAGTATGGGGAGGCAGCTACTGAAACGCTTGACTTTAACAAACGCATCTTGTAGAAAATAACTCGATTTTTTGACCGAGGGCGGCAAAATGCTCATAGCGCGAGCACTCTAGGGTTAATTAGTCTAAACAAATAAAGAAAATTTTGATTTTGATTTTGATTATACCTCAGCTACACTACTCGCGAAGTTGGCTGAAGTCAATCATAGTCACGCACTTCACTTCGCTTCACCTGACTTCCGATCGTTGTCGGTATTTGCGTCCGAATGAAAGAACTCGAAGTGCTCCGAAATTTGTACGAAGCGTCTAACTACATTACTCGGCTAACTTCGAATCGCGTCGCGAATTTCGTCCTTAGAAATTTTAACGTTGTTGTAATGAGCGAGAGTGTACATTGCAACAGCGGCTGCCACTAAAACGATGTTGGCTACTGCGTGACCTCGACGAGACTAGGTTTCTCGCGAAGTTGCACGAGTATGTGAATACGTGCTTCGAACCTCGGTTAATTTCCTGTAAGACTTCGTCAAAGCGTTGAAGCGAGTTGTGTATCTGAAGTATTCCAGTTTATATAATAATAGTTTTCCGCCCGCGGCTTCGCCCGCGTGGGATTTTGTCTGTCACAGAAAAACTTTATTCCGCGTGTCCCTGTTTTAAAAACCGGGATAAAAACTATCCTATGTCTTTTTCCGGGACTTAAACTATCTCCCTGCCAAATTTCATCAAAATCGGTTCAGTGGTTTTTAGGCGTGAAAGCAAGACAGACAAACAGAGTTACTTTCGCATTTATAATATTAGTATAGATATGTACGGACGACGGCACGTCAACGTTACCACTGTGGGTTCTTGTGCAGTTGTAATAGGGGCGAGTTTGTAACAAAAATGGGTAACCTGATGTGCTGTCGTGTGTACGTACATATAATTTACATGCCAATATCTTGGTAAAACATGTTGTTGTATCACCTGTTAAAACTGTAAGACCAAATCATGTTGCTTTGTATGTTTTCACACATGTTTATGTAAATATAGCCTGACCAGGAACATAAAAACCCTCGCCATGTTGCGGAAAACTAATGGTACTAATTTCTTTTAATGGCAACAGTAACTCAAAACTTCATTGACATGTCACCTTGCATGTCAGTCTATTGCTGTCAAAGTGTAAACAAACTTTATTTTAAATGTGCGCAATTGGTTTTATGAATTAAATTGCTAAAATATTTTTATAGTCGTGAAAGAAAAGTGGTTCACAATGTGTTAAAGTATTTGTCGAAGAGAAATACTAAGGGTTCGGACAATATTTTCATTGAATAATGTATCCGACAAAGGTTGTCAAATTGACTGACATGTTTATCGTATAGTACAGTCCACTATGAAAATTAGCTGTGGTTTGTTTCAACTACCTATTTTTAAAATTTTGTCACTTTCTAAGTGTTGAATTTTATGGGATTGGGAAACAAGTACCGTTCTTGAGCAGAAATTGCAGTTGAATATTCAAGTTCTGAATTTGATTATTGATAAATAATAAAATAAATTCTACTAACTCGATTGATGGTTTCATTTAATTTATTTAAATCAGCTTACCTATAATAATATTTTTTCGTTAATTTATGAAAATATCAAATTAGCCCGTAATCCTGAATCCTGATACATAAAGTTAGTCTATTAATTTAACACAGGTACGACTGTACTCAGTGTTGCACTATCAAATGCAATTGACGCGCCTCTATGCCAGGGTTTTTATGTTCCTGGTCAGGCTATAAATATCTTTATGTTTATGTGCACTTAATGCTCATTATTGATCATAAACCTATCCGTTCCAGGGTGAGCGCGCTACGGGCTACGGCGTGGCGCTATTACCCGTGTTATTCGGCGCGCGCACGCGCAGCGCGCTTCTGCAAGCGCTCGCGCCGCGGGCCAACTGAGCGGTGAACGGGTCTTTGGTGAACGCACTGTAAAGCCTTGTTCTACTAGTCGAGTAATTTAGCAGCTAAAGCCTTGATCACACGTACCGAGCAAACGGGCGAGACAGTGCTCTCGGCTGAGTACTCTGTGTATGAACATTACGCCGAGTGCTCGGCCGAGCGCTCGAGTATGTGACTCGCTCACCTAACTGTCTCGACCGAGTAAACATTTTACTGTCTCACCCGTTTACTCGGTACGTGTGATCAAGGCTTAAAGGCGAGTTTACTAAATTATTAGACTAGTACGAACAAGGATTAATACACAGTATGACAAAAATGTATCTTTGTTTACACTTTCCGCGACAGAAACCTTAAAGGCTTCCACAGACCAAACGCAGGTCAGAAGCAGTGCGGGTCAGTTGGTTGCAGCGCGGCAGTAGGCACACTGAAGGCAGCGCAGTTTCAAAGCAGCTGCAACGCGGGCGGTTGTCAAAAATTTAAATATTCGAAAATCGCTTTCAACTCGCTGCTACCGCCCTGCGTCCGGAGTGTCATGCTAGTATGGCCGCCATAGTAATACAACAGCGCGGGCCCGCGTTCGCGCCGCTTCTGTCCCGCTCCCGCGCCGCCTCGATTGTCGTTCGGCAGTTGCAGTGCGGCGCGGTTGGAGCGCGGGCCCGCGTTCAAATTTGGTGTGACATACTTCAAAGAGTTTCTTGTATTACAACTTGCGCGGGCCCGCATTCAAACTGCGTTGCTACTGCCCCGCGTTTGGTCTGCCCAAGCCTTTAGTCGAATATACAAAAGCCACAAATGACATGTAAAATGTACTCGACCAAAGTGCGAACGGTTTTTTGATCAGTAGCAAGCAGTTTAGTTACTAAAAGCGAGTTTACTAAATTATTAGACTAGTATGAACAAGGATTAATACACAGTATGGCAAAAATTTATCTTTGTTGACACTTTCCGCGACAGGAACATTAAAAGTAGGCGCACACCGTTGATTTTTAGTTGGCCGATAGTTGTGTCCGATTTTAAATTGTATGAAGAATCGGCCAAATCGAATCGGCGTAGTGTGCGCACTCCCATACATGCCCATACTGATCAACTGCCCGACTAAACTATCGGCCGACGAAAAATCAACGGTGTGCGCCTACTCTAAGTGCCCTTTTCCTTTATCGTTCGATCATTAGCAATAGCGAATCGGTAAAAAGTTACACACGTCTGTATTTATCATGTGTGCTTTTTTGTATTACGAATTTTTATTGAAATCCTCACTAAAGACCCGATTTAATCATTAATATTGTAAGCTTAACCTTTTGTATGGATAATAATATAAGTTAAGGGTATATAGGTAAATGATTTTGTATTTTACACCTCTGGAATCTTAAGAATTTTGATAAATAATACATTTGTTTTGAATCGAATAATCAAAGGTTTTAAAACAAACATCGAATATAAAGAAACTAAAGCAATAAAAGATTAAAAGATAAAATTAGTATATAGTCAAACAACAGCTACAATAATTTATTATATACACAGGAGAATTAACGATGTTAAGTAGTTTCAAATACATAGTTATTGTTGACATTAGTATGAAATAGTTAAAATTAGTTGCTGTTATTATATACGAATACATAAATGTACAACACCGTTACCAATTGCAGTTAATGTTATAGATACATTTATATACATGGGAGAAGTGACCTAATTGAAATAGATACTAATTATAGTTTTAGTACCATTGGTCTAGTAAATCCACGCCATTTAAAACCTTTTAAATAAGTGAAAAATAGTTGCCTCCATTTTTGAAATTTTTCACTTGTAATTGGGATCCACACTGCTTAATTTAACAAAGTAAGCAGTGCTTACTTTGTTAAATTCCATTGAAGCAAAATCTATAGAATTAAATATTGAAAAAGAATGGCGTGAGATTTAAAGGCCAGCCTTATGTTTATATTAGGATGCACCTGTACTGCCAAACATACGATGCATCTCTCTTCCTTACGTATATCACCTTTATAAAGTGAGTGAGTGAGATGACCGTCAGTTTGGTATGTTTAAAAATAGTATAATCGTGCGCTGGAAGCATTTTTTATATAACCCACTAACAAACGTACCAATCTTTGTTTATTTACACTAATAACCGAGCATAATATAACATAATAGTTAATTTGTTGAATTATGTGTTTTGTACTGATAAATCTAATCAGATAGTTTAAGTGAAAGTGTAGATAATCGAGTGAATTATACACCAAAACTGCATTTTCGATCAGTAAACTGATGTTTGGGTCATAGACAACAAAATAATAGTTTTACCTGCCCAATGAGCATTTGTTACGTTAAAGGTATACATAATTATTTACACATTTTGTCACAGATATTCGTTGTCCCGAAGTGAGTGGTTTTCAAATGTCAGTTTACTGTTCCAACTTAAAAATTATGTTTCATTGTTCATTTAATAACATTACTATTAACATACATTACATATTGTTGGACAGACAGTTAAAGTGACCACGTTAAGTTTCAAGTTCAACAGTCTTAGGCCCAGTTTTTTGATTCATAGTTAAAATAACAAATTGTTAAATTTTGCTACTAATGGTTAAATATTAACAAAATGTTAACTAATAGTTAAAAAATGTACTAAAAGTCAAGCTAACCATTGTTCAAAAAACATTTTTTTCTGATATTTAACCACTTGTCATTTTACATCTGTCAAATTTGACTATTGGTTATTTTAACTACGAATCAAAAACCGGGCCTTAGGCCCAGTTTTTTGATTCATAGTTAAAATAACTTAAATTTTGCTACTAATGGTTAAATATTAACAAAATGTTAACTAATAGTTAAAAAATGTACTAAAAGTCAAGCTAACCATTGTTCGAAAAACATTTTTTTCTGATATTTAACCACTTGTCATTTGACATCTGTCAAATTTGACCATTGGTTATTTTAACTACGAATCAAAAAACCGGGCCTTAGGCAAGTTGACAGTTATTTGACAGATTGTTATACTGTCTATGACTGGTTGAACTTCTTCTTAGGCTCGTTCTAAGACTGTTTGCTGTATCTTAACTCGGTATTTCTTTCGTCTTCCGATTCAATAGACATTATTATATTGGTAGTGTTTTCTACCAAAAATTTTTCACCGCATTTTTAAAAACAACACCTCTAAATAAATTAAAAAAGGCATATTTTTTATGTACGCAAGGTAGACTGACGATTATTGAAAAACTGAACGTCTAAATAGTAAAATAAGCAATACTTTATAGCAATAAGATGAATGTGTTCGCTAGAGCCAAAATATTAAGCTATAGTGTATTTTATATGAAATACGAAAGTTAATCCGTATTACTAATGACAGTTTTATCCATCTTTTGTAACGCAATTTTGTGTTAATTTGCTAAATAAATATATATTTAGGTAAAGGTGTCTTTTATTTCTTTTTATCCTATTGATAGAAACTTTATTATGGAGCTAAGAGTTTAGCTGCCTAACGACAATGGCGCCAACTATAGGTCAAGCGTTTAACTCAGCGCCTGAGGTATGTAAGCGGCACAGCCCCCCTAGACAAAACGCACTTTTTGATCGAATCGATAATCAAATCCGTCAAAACTCCATACAAAAAAGGGGCTTTTCGACCACTTTTCGACTGGTTTGCGATTATAATTTGCACTTTGTCTAGACCCACTCGAGGGTGTTTAAGTGTTTTTGTAACGTCAAATGCCAACGAGAGATCTTCAGATTTATACTTAAGCACTGTCAGTTGTCACGTTATCTATACTAATATTAGAAAGCTGAAGAGTTTATATGTTTGTTTGTTTACTTGAACGCGCTAATCTCAGGAACTACTGGTCCGGTTTGAAAAATTATTTCAGTGTTAGATAGCCCATTTATCGAGGAAGGCTATAGGCTATATACCAGGTAATAGGTGCAGAGCAAAAATGAAAAATGTTGCGAAAACGGGTTTTCACGCGTACGAAGTCGCTGGTATAGATGACCCACGCTGAACTGTCCCACCAAACTCAATGACAGGGGGGCGCTACCATCGTTCAACTATATGGTTTGCAACATGGCAAAAATCTGAACCAGCGATTCGGTATTGACGGTGGCGCCCCACTGTCAATGTCATCGACAGGACAGTCCAGTATTTTGGAACTATAAAGCTTTTAAATATGTCAATGTCACCCGTTCCGCGCCGCTCCCAAACCTCGGGAACTGATTGAGTTAGCGCTGGACCTATTGGGAACGTGCACAACATTAGCGCCATCTGCCAACGAAACTTTAAGGGGCATATGTCAAAAAATAAATAACAACAGCTTTCTTATTTTTATTGATTAGAGTAAATAAAATATACTTTAAAAGACAATAAATGGTACGTTGAATGGAATTTGATAAAAACTGTTTATGGAGAAATGGACGTCATTATAAAAACTGGTTTTGAGTGTGTAAAACACACAATAAGTTTCCAACCCCAAACTCAGCTAAAAGGAAAAAAATTGGTGCTAGCAGAGCATGTGAGGAATGTAGAAGAGCTGAGAACTAATGGCAATAGTTATTTATTGAGCCACCATCATTCGTCAAACATCGGTGACCTCGACACCCTATAAAACAAGTTTAAACGTAAGTAATCTCCTAACCTAAAAATATGACTAAAGATTTAGAGAAAGTTATAAAATTAATATTCATTGCATTTATTACAGATCGATCATGCTAGGGTTATCACAGGAGTAAAATGCAGCTGCGTTTATAACCAGAGCGGCAAGTGCAAACATGTTGCTGCTTTAATATGTTTAACCGCATGGCTTCCAAGGTACCCACTTTTCCATCCTTCAAGTAGGAGTCTTTCCGACCTGACATCGCGTAGTTATCTTAACTATTAGAGTCTTTAAATATTTAGGCTGAGTTTTAAGAAATTTGTAGTGGCAATAATATTCACCAAACCGAACCTAATTAACGACCCTGAATCCCTTGAGATTGGCACTATCTATTACAGTAGTTATAATATCGTAATTGTCAACTGTATTCAAGCTTACAAGACAAAAATAAATTGTGTCAATTGAGAGGGAGCTGTTTTATTTAAATTTTTTTTATTTCACACAAGGAACGGTACTTATATAAATTTCTGCAAGCCGGACAACCTCTTTTTCACGTGC